ACCGCTCTTAGTCTGACCCATGACCTAGGACCTGTTTGCCTTGGGAAACCCTACCAGGGGCATATAGCCCCCGACAACATAGCTCCTAGGATCACTCGGGTACTCAAATCCCTCCACCACAATAAGGTGGCAGTTCAAGGAGGGGTACTTAAAAATGATATTTAAATAAATATATTGAGCATCCACCTGTGACAAAGAAGAGGAAGACCAGGAGAAGATGCTAAATGAATTTCCTGATGCAGTAACCTCAAAAATCAAACTCAGGTAACTGCTTCCCTACAGCTGTAGTCCTGCCTCTCAGTCCTTCATATATGGCATTAATCCAAGTCGAACAGAGTTCTTCATGTTTTCCGAGGTTGGAGACTAATCAGTTTTTACTGCAACTATAAAAGATGCTTTTTTGATAGTGGAGATGTAAACAGAGCCCCCCCCCCACCACACACACACACACACACACACACACACACAAACTCTTGCTCTCTCACACACAAACAATTAATAATACTAAATTCAGAGCCCAGACCTCAACCCAAAAGAGATGACATGAGAGAGCCATTCACACCAGATATCCTAGGAATATGTCTGAGCTGAAGCAGCTCTGTGAGGAAGAATGGTCCAAAATTCCTCCTCAGCATTGCTAAGGTCTGTTCCACAGCTACAGGAAGCTTGTTTGATATTATTACTGCCAAAGGAGCTTCAACCAGTTGTTAAATCAGAGTCCCCCTACTTTTTACACCAGCAGTTTGAATGTTAGTGACAGGGTTCATGAAAAACCATAATTGTTTGTGTGGTATTAGCTTAAGCCCACTGACATATTTTCTGACCAATTCATGCAGAAAACCAAATAATTATAAATGTTTCACTACTTTTTCTTTCCACTATAATGGCAGAATGGTACTGAAACTTTCATATTGTATGTACAAAGCATAACACTATTTTTTGCAGCACAGATTATGTTTACATGTTACCTGTATATAGTATTTATCTGTAGTGTTGAAAAATACTCAGTTTCTTCTCATGTTAAACTCACATTGTTAGCATGGTCAGGCATATTGGTGTCATCACAACACACAACAGATGCATTGCAGTAGAAAGGAAAAATACAAAGACTGCATAATTTCAGCACGAAAGATTATACAGGCT